TCTTTCTCTCTTACATCTTTCTCTCTTTCATCTTTCTCTCTTTCATTTCACTCTTACATCTTTCTCTCTTTCATCTTTCTCTCTTTCATTTTTCTCTCTTACATCTTTCTCTCTTTCATCTTTCTCTCTTACATCTTTCTCCGTCACATTTTTTCCTCTTACATCTTTCTCTCTTACATCTTTCTCCCTTACATCTTTCTCTCTTACATCTTTCTCTCTTTCATCTTTCTCTCTTACATCTTTCTCTCTTACATCTTTCTCTCTTACATATTTCTCCCTTACATTTTTCTCTCTTACATCTTTCTCCCTTACATCTTTCTCTCTTACATCTTTCTCTCTTACATCTTTCTCCCTGACATCTGTCTCTCTTACATCTTACTCTTTGACATCTTTCTCTCTTTCATTTCACTCTTACATCTTTCTCCCTTACATTTTTCTCTCTTACATCTTTCTATCTTACATCTTTCTCTCTTACATCTTACTCTTTGACATCTTTCTCTCTTTCATTTCACTCTTACATCTTTCTCCCTTACATTTTTCTCTCTTACATCTTTCTCTCTTTCACTTTTTTTCCCTTACATCTTTCTCTCTTACATCTTTCTCTCTTACATCTTACTCTTTGACATCTTTCTCTTTTTCATTTCACTCTTACATCTTTCTCCCTTACATTTTTCTCTCTTTCATCTTTCTATCTTACATCTTTCTCTCTTACATCTTTCTCTCTTTCATCTTTCTCTCTTTCATCTTTCTCCCTTACATCTTTCTCTCTTTCATCTTTCTCCCTTACATCTTTCTCTCTTACATTTTTCTCTCTTACATCTTTCTCTCTTACATCTTTCTCCCTTACATCTTTCTCTCTTACATCTTTCTCTCTTACATCTTTCTCTCTTTCATCTTTCTCTCTTTCATCTTTCTCTCTTACATCTTTCTCTCTTTCATCTTTCTCTCTTACATCTTTCTCTCTTTCATCTCACTCTTTGACATCTTTCTCTCTTACATCTTTCTCTCTTACATCTTACTCTTTGACATCTTTCTCTCTTACATCTTTCACTCTTTCATCTTTCTCTCTTTCATCTTTCTCCCTCACATCTTTCTCTCTTTGACATCTTTCTCTCTTACATCTTTCTCTCTTACATCTTTCTCCCTTACATTTTTCTCTCTTACATCTTTCTCTCTTACATCTTTCTCTTTTACATCTTACTCTTTGACATCTTTCTCTCTTATATCTTTCTCTCTTTCATCTTTCTCTCTTACATCTTTCTCTCTTTCATCTTACTCTTTGACATCTTTCTCTCTTACATCTTTCTCTCTTCCATCTTTCTCTCTTACATCTTTCTCTCTTTCATCTTTCTCCCTTACATCTTTCTCTCTTTCATCTTTCTCTCTTACATCTTACTCTTTGACATCTTTCTCTCTTACATCTTTCTCTCTTACATCTTTCTCTCTTTCATCTTTCTCCCTTACATCTTTCTCTCTTTCATCTTTCTCCCTTACATCTTTCTCTCTTTCATCTTACTCTTTGACATCTTTCTCTCTTACATCTTTCTCTCTTTCATCTTTCTCTCTTACATCTTTCTCTCTTTCATCTTTCTCTCTTTCATCTTTCTCCCTTACATCTTTCTCTCTTTCATCTTTCTCCCTTACATCTTTCTCTCTTTCATCTTACTCTTCGACATCTTTCTCTCTTACATCTTTCTCTCTTTCATCTTTCTCTCTTACATCTTTCTCTCTTTCATCTTTCTCTCTTTCATCTTTCTCCCTTACATCTTTCTCTCTTTCATCTTTCTCCCTTACATCTTTCTCTCTTACATCTTTCTCTCTTACATCTTTCCCTGACATCTGTCTCTCTTACATCTTACTCTTTGACATCTTTCTCTCTTTCATTTCACTCTTACATCTTTCTCCCTTACATTTTTCTCTCTTACATCTTTCTATCTTACATCTTTCTCTCTTACATCTTACTCTTTGACATCTTTCTCTCTTTCATTTCACTCTTACATCTTTCTCCCTTACATTTTTCTCTCTTACATCTTTCTCTCTTTCATTTTTTTCCCTTACATCTTTCTCTCTTACATCTTTCTCTCTTACATCTTACTCTTTGACATCTTTCTCTTTTTCATTTCACTCTTACATCTTTCTCCCTTACATTTTTCTCTCTTTCATCTTTCTATCTTACATCTTTCTCTCTTACATCTTTCTCTCTTTCATCTTTCTCTCTTTCATCTTTCTCCCTTACATCTTTCTCTCTTTCATCTTTCTCCCTTACATCTTTCTCTCTTACATTTTTCTCTCTTACATCTTTCTCTCTTACATCTTTCTCCCTTACATCTTTCTCTCTTACATCTTTCTCTCTTACATCTTTCTCTCTTTCATCTTTCTCTCTTTCATCTTTCTCTCTTACATCTTTCTCTCTTTCATCTTTCTCTCTTACATCTTTCTCTCTTTCATCTCACTCTTTGACATCTTTCTCTCTTACATCTTTCTCTCTTACATCTTACTCTTTGACATCTTTCTCTCTTTCATCTTTCTCCCTTACATCTTTCTCTCTTACATCTTTCTCCCTGACATCTTTCTCTCTTTCATCTTTCTCCCTTACATCTTTCTCTCTTACATCTTTCTCTCTTACATCTTTCTCTCTTTCATCTTTCTCTCTTTCATCTTTCTCCCTTACATCTTTCTCTCTTTCATCTTTCTATCTTACATCTTACTCTCTTACATCTTTCTCCCTTGCATGTTTCTCTCTTACATCTTTCTCCCTTACATCTTTCTCGCTTTCATCTTTCTATCTTACATCTTTCTCTCTTACATCTTTCTATCTTTCATCTTTCTCTCTTTCATTTCACTCTTACATCTTTCTCTCTTACATCTTTCTCTCTTTCATCTTTCTCTCTTACATCTTTCTCTCTTTCATCTTTCTCTCTTACATCTTTCTCCCTTACATTTTTTTCTCTTACATCTTTCTCTCTTACATCTTTCTCCCTTACATCTTTTTCTCTTACATCTTTCTCTCTTTCATCTTTCTCTCTTACATCTTTCTCTCTTACATCTTTCTCTCTTACATATTTCTCCCTTACATTTTTCTCTCTTACATCTTTCTCCCTTACATCTTTCTCTCTTACATCTTTCTCTCTTACATCTTTCTCCCTGACATCTGTCTCTCTTACATCTTACTCTTTGACATCTTTCTCTCTTTCATTTCACTCTTACATCTTTCTCCCTTACATTTTTCTCTCTTACATCTTACTCTTTGACATCTTTCTCTCTTTCATTTCACATTTACATCTTTCTCCCTTACATTTTTCTCTCTTACATCTTTCTCTCTTTCATTTTTCTCCCTTACATCTTTCTCTCTTACATCTTTCTCTCTTACATCTTACTCTTTGACATCTTTCTCTCTTTCATTTCACTCTTACATCTTTCTCCCTTACATTTTTCTCTCTTTCATCTTTCTATCTTACATCTTTCTCTCTTACATCTTTCTCTCTTTCATCTTTCTCTCTTTCATCTTTCTCCCTTACATCTTTCTCTCTTTCATCTTTCTCCCTTACATCTTTCTCTCTTACATTTTTCTCTCTTACATCTTTCTCTCTTACATCTTTCTCCCTTACATCTTTCTCTCTTACATCTTTCTCTCTTACATCTTTCTCTCTTTCATCTTTCTCTCTTTCTCTCTTACATCTTTCTCTCTTTCATCTTTCTCTCTTACATCTTTCTCTCTTTCATCTTACTCTTTGACATCTTTCTCTCTTACATCTTTCTCTCTTACATCTTACTCTTTGACATCTTTCTCTCTTACACCTTTCTCTCTTTCATCTTTCTCTCTTTCATCTTTCTCCCTTACATCTTTCTCTCTTTGACATCTTTTTCTCTTACATCTTTCTCTCTTACATCTTACTCTTTGACATCTTTCTCTCTTACATCTTTCTCTCTTACATCTTTCTCTCTTTCATCTTTCTCCCTTACATCTTTCTCTCTTTCATCTTTCTCCCTTACATCTTTCTCTCTTTCATCTTACTCTTTGACATCTTTCTCTCTTACATCTTTCTCTCTTTCATCTTTCTCTCTTTCATCTTTCTCTCTTTCATCTTTTTCCCTTACATCTTTCTCCCTTACATCTTTCTCTCTTTCATCTTACTCTTTGACATCTTTCTCTCTTACATCTTTCTCTCTTTCATCTTTCTCTCTTACATCTTTCTCTCTTTCATCTTTCTCTCTTTCATCTTTCTCCCTTACATCTTTCTCTCTTTCATCTTTCTCCCTTACATCTTTCTCTCTTTCATCTTTCTCTCTTTCATCTTTCTCTCTTACATCTTTCTCCCTTACATCTTTCTCTCTTTCATCTTTCTCTCTTACATCTTACTCTTTGACATCTTTCTCTCTTACATCTTTCTCTCTTACATCTTACTCTTTGACATCTTTCTCTCTTTCATCTTTCTCCCTTACATCTTTCTCTCTTACATCTTTCTCTCTTACATCTTACTCTTTGACATCTTTCTCTCTTACATTTTTCTCTCTTTCATCTTTCTCTCTTACATCTTACTCTTTGACATCTTTCTCCCTTACATCTTTCTCTCTTACATCTTACTCTCTGACATCTTTCTCTCTTACATCTTTCTCTCTTTCATCTTTCTCTCTCACATCTTTCTCTCTTACATCTTTCTCTCTTACATCTTACTCTTTGACATCTTTCTCTCTTACATCTTTCTCTCTTACATCTTACTCTTTGACATCTTTCTCTCTTACATCTTTCTCTCTTACATCTTTCTCTCACATCTTACTCATTGACATCTTTCTCTCTGACATCTTACTCTCTCTCTCTCTCTCTCTCTCTCTCATTTTTCTATCTTACGTCCTCTCTCTCTTACGTTTTTTTCTCTGACATCATTTTCTCTTACTTCCAGCTCTCTCTCATCTTTCTCTCTCAAGTCTCGCTCTCTTACATCTAATAAGGTATATACATACAAAGTTGAATGAAACTGTTGTGGACTATAAAAGCTTCATAAAGTTATTGCATGTACAGTTCTTTTCACTGAAAGTTTATTGACCTTATGATCTTTGAATGTCACCTGCACCTTCAAGAGATGTACCTGTGGTATGAATGTTGTGATCCTACCTCAAAGCTATGGGAAGTTATTGTGAGTGTAGGAGCTATGTATGTAGGTTCGATCCAACACAGAACAAGTAGGTAGGTGTTACTCGGTTGAAGTGCCCTGGGCTTGGCCCAATCCTGATTTCATATTTATCTTTTAATTTGAATATCTTAGCATGTTCAATTCATACAACATAAATATTCAAATCAACTTTAAAATAACAATGACCGATTATTACATATTCATAAGGAAAGGTCCACTCGAATTTGAGAGTGAGCAACATAAATATTCAATAGCTAAATCAACCAATGGGGAAGAAGGATAGTATGCAAATACATGTGAGGTGAAGCATAGTGAGAAGGTATTCTATAATAAAGAGAAGGATCAATTTGGGAATGTAAAGCATGAAGGAGGAATGATGATAACAAAAGCTAGAGGGAGCAATGTTGATGAGAGTAATTCAGAGAGGCTATGGTACAGGTGGAACTGAGGTTACAAGAGGTGAACACTGGCTCGGAGAGAAGTAAACAAAGTAAAGATCATTAAACCCTGATAGCTGGATGTAAACAGAATCTAATTGTGTACAAAATAGTTCACCACAGAGTACAGCATAATTGTTGACAACAACTATGATAACTGCAAGAACAACACACCAGAAATAGTGATGACTAATGTCTTGCTCTGCTAGGCAGGCGAGGCAAAATCGATACCGGTAATTCTTTTCTGGCTACGGTATACAACATACAGGTCTATTTTATAGCCACCCCTACACAGAAAAGGAAAATACCCTGGGCAAACTACAATTACAATTTACTTTTAATTCAAAGTGTTAATACTCTCTACAACTTTAAACTGCATGCATGACTGTACGATCCTCATTTATAAAATACTTCCAAAAAATATAAATTGTACAAGAATATCTATCTACTAGTACTGTATATGCCACAATGACATTACTGACAAGCAAGGCACATGCAAAACAGTTATCAGTATTTTTTCTCACAGAATGTTTATAATTGTTTTTTTTTGTCAGAGATCTTCTTTTCTACTAAAACTGTGGTCCCGACAAGACTGGCAGTAGCTATGGAAAGGATGACTGATAAAATTGCTGGTCCTTCGGCAGTCACTTCCTGCGAGACCCCTGCTATGAGTGGCGAGACTGTTCGACAGATGGACATAACAGACTGGTTCAGCCCCAGCAAAGCACCCGCGTCCTCCACCTTTCCCCGCTCGATGCTTAAATTCGTGGAGCAGATGCGTGCTACAGAGTTGCCCATGCAAAGGAGGAAATAGAACACTAAGAAGGAAGGTATGTTTGGTGCGAGGATGAGCAGGACAAGTGCAATTATCCTCAGAGTGCAGGAGTGGAAGTAGAGGCGGGGCATGTTGCCGTAGAACTGCACCAAGCGACCCACTCCTAAAGCACAGAGGGCGCTTGCGATCGACCCAAAGGATATAATGCGACCAGTAATGATGGGGGTACTGTCAAACTTCTGCTCCAGTGAGAGGGTGAAATTGCTGCGAAAGAGAGTGGCGGAGAAACCTTGAAGGAAGCGTATGAAGAAGAGCTCATGACCGGACTTGATGATCTCTTTAAAGGTTTGCAGCGACGAGGGAAACTTGTTGTTGAACTCACCGCCAGTGAAGTCTTGGACTGATTTGGTGTTAGGGAGCCCTCTATGCTGAGGTTCGTTCATGAAGAGCAGAACAAACACTGTAACAGAAGAAGCAATTAGATTATCTCATTCGGGTATAAATGTGAATAGCTTTTATTCACTGCAGACTATAGTGTAATAGATGATACCAACATGTATTATGTAGTGCATCAATCAGAAGAGAAAACAAAAAGAAAATACTGGTAAGATGGAAAACTTCATTATGTGATGGTTTTAAAATCACATCATGTCCTACATGTAATAAAATTCTTTTCAAACATCTCAAATTCTGTGAATAAGCAGCCTGAAATTTTGATGACTTGATGTAATTATGTGCTACATGAACATTTCTTTATATGTTAGGAGATGGCATTTTAAAAGTTTATATCAATGGCATCTTAAAAGTTTTTTTCTTTTCCAAAAAATCCTGAATAGCAAATCAAAATGGAAGTACTCAGTTTTAATGAGTTTTAGCAATGAAACAAATTCCTTTCAAAATCACTTTTTTTAATGAATTCCTTTCATTAATATTCCTGATCCAAAGGATGTGATGTTCACAAAGGGCACAACTTACCAAACCAGGCAGCAAAGATGGCAGAAGTAACTATGGAAACTTTAAAGAAGCCATTCTCCATCTCAGCAAGATGGCCACCGATGAGAGGTCCAATAATGAAGCCAATGCTAGAGATGCCGTTGAAGTACCCAAAGACCTTTGCCCTTTGATCTTTGGGTGTAATTTCAGCCAGGTAAGCTCTTGTGATGGATATGCTGTGCTTGAATATACCTGAAAGATATGTGAAACAAAACTGCTAACAATGTTTTGGTGACAACCTGTATACAAATCCACCCATTGAGACTCCATTCTATGTATCCCTTGAACAATATTTGCATTAAAATCTGTGATAAAATAACCTAAACATAAAGACCGCCTCCTTATATAGAGTGCATTTCTTGTTTCCCTTCAGTAGTATTCATGTACAGGTTTATCCATTTACCTGTTTTTGTTTCCACTGAATCAGTTTTGTAATTCACACATGAATTAGAAATGCAAAGATAATAAACATATTAAAGGTGAAATTTAAAGAAAATCACAAATATGTCAACTAATGTATCACTAGAAACTGGTAAGCTAACAGATGGCCATCGTACAAGTTTTAGCTCAACTACATATCGGGTGATTTATAAAAATACAAATACAACCACCTCCATAGCAGCTGGGATATATGAGAGAATCGCTGGAAAAATAACGATGTTTTAATGACGTCACTATATGAACCAATACTGCCCAAGCAGACGACATCCCATAGAGAATGAACATAATTGCAAAGCTATTATTTCTCAAATTATAATGAGTTTAGTGTATATAAATATAATGGCATGTCAAACCATTCAAAAGGGGATATGACCCGATTCTGATAACTAAAATCTTTTGCTTGTAAATACACAGGATAGGGGTTAATTAACAATCAAAGAAACCAGACTTTCAAATTGAAAACCTCCCGGAATGACATTAAGGACGGCATTTGTTCCCTCTTGAAACGCCGAACATACCGCGGTGTGTGCACCTGAAAATACAATGGCGTCTTATTTTGTTTACAAGCGACAGATTCCTTTATTTTTGTACCGCTGCATTTGTCAGCAAAATAAAACCATGCACAGGGTTTAGGGTGAGGCAATAGATTATACATTTAGCCTCGGTATTGAAGTAAGAGAAAGAACTCAAGAAAAGATGAAAATACAGGCACTGAAAATGTGTGAGATGTCATGGGACATCGTCTGCTTGTGCAAATCATGTCCATACTGTGATCTCACACATCTCAGCAGCGTTCAGAGAGCTCTTCAGGTGCTATGCTGGGGCTTTATTTAAGCGTTTTGTAATTTATGATAATCCTTACTTCGAATGTTTCCAAGCATTGAATTATGATAACCTTGTCGAATCAAAGTTTCAACTTTGCAATAATAAAAATAAAGTTAGTTTTTAAAATCAATGAATATCTACTTTAAGATCCCTTTGGCGTCTCCCTAGCACATTCCTATACACTGTATATACAGATTTGATCATAGTACAAAAATGTTTTAGTAACAAAGTACTTTATTCAGTTTAGCATAATCTCCGATGAATCAGCTCTTGTGATGCAAGCACTCTGCATAACTATACTCACTCATCTATTGATGAGTGAGTAACACAATGACACAAAAGGATGAGTACCGTGAAAAATGTACAGAGATTTAAACACAAACAACTTTGAAAATCAGTGAAACACTGCAATGTGATTTAGCAATAAAGGGCATGATCCAAGACTTACCTAGTGGAACTCTTGCTAGAAGGTAGTGAACAATGGAAGTAGAAAGACCCATGAAGATATAACCAATGGATGTGAAGAACAGGCACAGCAAAAGAGTTGACCTTCGGCCTCCGATGTCACTCCATCTCCCCTGCATTGTAAATATCAATCCTTTCATAATCTCATAACACTAATGTTCATGGTTCTTATAAAGCGCCGCAGCAGTGTTACAACACAGCTGACTAAAGTGCTAACACTATTATTCTTCTACAAATTTTTTCATTACATGATTTAAACAAAATCAACTTGAAATTATTCAACTTGAAATTGTTTAAATTATACTGTCCATTTTTGTGTGTGAGGTAGCTTTAAAAGAACCTTGTCCTGTGCACTTTATGTACATATGGATTTGATTTAAAAAGTAATAATTCAGACATATAATTTGGGGCTTGTAAACAGTAACTTAAAGGTCGGGTGACAAGAAAATCAGCTGAAATGGCATTTGAGACAGAAGAAGAAGATAAAGATTTGTATATGACAATCATTTTCCACTTGGAAAATGATTTAAACATGATAAGAGGACCTGAAGATTTACGTTGGGAATGCCCCCCAAAAAATCAAGTCTGAGCAAAGAAAAATGACGTCATCTTTGTAATGTCACGAGGTGACAATTGCAATATAGCTTGGTACTCTATTGTCATAGACGTACACGCTGAGTGCATTGCTTCACGTTGACAGAGAGATATTATTTTGATTTGTTGTCTTCTCAATTTTTGCAGACATTTATTTAAGTTTATATCAAGAAGCATCTTCACTCAGATTCATCTGATTCCAACAGTGACCGTGAATCCGACAAAGGATCTGGATGAGAGTCAGAATCATGTTCTGAATTGACAGATCCTTAAGATGAACTTCCAAATGTGAGTCAGCAGCCAGTAATAGGGGTACAATTGTATAGATTTGAGCCTCCGGCTGAGCAAAGTACTGATGATGATGCAGTAATGTTGTTGGCAACGAAGAAAACGAGTATGGGGTGCCAAGGCCAAATGGAACCAAAAAGTTGCATGAAATTTACCTTTTTTGCACAACTTACGGATTTCTTTGAAAAATAGATTGTGGTATATCAATATAGGCACATATTCAAAGTTATATACGCGAGTTAAAGTATGGATTTCACTGAACATTTAAAGGCAATTCTATGCCATATTGGGACCTCTATGCCATGTGGGGGCCTCTAGCGTGACCTCCATGCTCCAACTACTTGACTGGACCACACTCGAGCAACGCAGAGAAAATTACAGACTGGTGATGCTGTACAAGCTCCACAACAACCTGGTAGCACTCGACACAGCATCCTACATCAACCCTGTCACAAGACCCTCCAGGACTGCCCATGCACATAGCTACCAAGTCCTCCGTTCAAGAACTGAGCAACATAAGCAGTCCTTCTTTCCCAGGACTGTGAGCAGTTGGAATAACCTGCCATCAGAAACAGTATGTGCCTCATCCGTCAATGGTTGACGGGAGGCAGCAACTAAGTCCGGGAACTTTTTACTTGCACCATGTTAATAGCATTGCACCATGCACCTTGCTCTCGTAAGCACACACACACTCATCAGTCTGCAAGAATCTTCAACTGTGAAGGAGGTAGACTTAACCCAAAGAAGAAGAAGGAGACCCAATGAAACTGAATAAAAACAGGTGTAATATGGTAACATTTTAAACAAAGTGGACATAAGTCTCGTGCATGCTTTCTGAACATTCTGCAACTTGATTATTTGTGAATCTGGCAAGCCAAAACAATAATCATGCCTACTGCTCATAAATTCATAGAGTATTTGCATCAAGTAAATAAAAACAAAACAAAACAAAATTACTTACCACAAGGGGAGCAGATATCAACTGTAGGATGCCATAAATTGTACCTGTAAAGAATTAGAAATCCACAGATTACCAAATCAAAGCTCAAAATTAAGTTTAATAGGGTGATCATGCATATTGGGAAAATTGTACAGACAATGGTACAAAGATAGACAATGTTTAATAACAACCAATTGGTTATAGCCCACATGAAGTTTTAAAAAAAAAGTTATTTCTGCGTTTAATAACGTAATACAAAATGATTAAATATTACAGAAAAATATATACATGTATATGTGTAAACACATTTTCAGATATTGACATATCAACTCTAAACACAGAAAGAAAATTAATATTTTTACAATTGACAGATTTTGTGAACACAGGACCACCATCTGAGCAAGTGGCTCGATAATAATGGCATCAGGGTAGAAAAGGCGACATATAGAGCTAACAAAATTTACAGAAACTGACACAAGGGTGCAGTGCAAGTGCATTTGAGACATTTTGAGTTGTGGTCTAAAGGTATTCCTGAAATTTGTTTTATGGATAAAATAAATACATAAATACTTATATCTTTTATATAGACTGTTAATGTGATGGATTTGAATATAAAGTTGATAGTCGCTTTAAAAGAGTAAATTGAGGACATGTTTCAGCTGTTGTGGGTAAATTATTCCACAAGTCAGTGCTATGGTGTCTAATTAATTTATGCATTATTAATAATTTTAAGAGAAACATTCTTTTGTATGTGTACCAGTACATATATAAAGTGAAACATACATGTGTTTGTTTACATAAGTTAATAAAGGTATGCCAAAATTTTAGGGGGGGGGGGGGGGAAGGAGTCAGTTGTTTTCCTCTTCAATCTGCCACTGAGTATAATTACTTACCAACAAGCCCTACTGACGCTGGGGATGCCCCTAGATTAGTGGCTTGTCTCGATGCTACCGGGATGATCAGGGCAACAGCAAACAGGTCCTACAGAGATACATCAACAGTTCAGAATTTACAAAACATGTTAAATTCATTTTTCATCACTTATAAAAAAATACATACATAAACTTGCTTCTACGAGCTACATACTCTCACACTTCAAAGAAGATGCCTTTCACTTAAAAAAAGAAACAAAATCAGGCCAAATGAATAAGAAAAATGATTTTGTTGCTTAAAATAAAAATACATCATCCAATTAAATTTATAGATCTATTGGCCTAAAGGTTTACAATATAATATGATTGAAGATGAGCAAAATCCATAATTTTGTTTAGTCGAATCTGAGACAAAGATACCCAAACCAACCGGCCAAGGCGGCCAAAGTCCTGGGTACCCAAGTCCCGGTGTGGTCACTCAATGTGACTTCTGGACCGCATGACCATTACCAAAATTGCGGAAAAAGGGGTCAATTTCAAGCAATGTCTGCGGACAAAATATTCCTCGAAATATAGAAAATAGGGGTGCACAGGTGTCCTCGAAATTAATAAATAGGGGTCAGGAAAAGGGAAAAGAGAAAACCGGAAAGAAAAATTCTCGGAGCCGAGTCTTGTCCTTGAAATATAGGGGTAAATTTGCGAAAGTGTCCTTACAATCTTATAAATAGGGGTACACCACAAACTTGTCCAGATCTCCTTGCCTCCTGACATCCGACTTATCACAGGCATCACCAGACCGCAACGGGCACAACATCAAAGCCACAACTTCAGATTCACCCATTTTGCCGAGTTAACTGCTACATGTACAGCATGTTTCCCAGAGCAGTCCGTATCTGGAACACTCTCCCAAGCAACGCTGTCACTGCAAATACAATTCTTGGCTTTAGGGGAGTGGCACTACCCGCCATACAGACTATTGCGCCGCCCCTGCCCCTGAAGATGTTGTGACGAGGGACACACCTGCACCACCTGCACATTGTATATAGTGCACGGAGAACAACCACCATCACTTCACCAACAGCACATCACCAACAGCACGCAACACAGCACAGCCCTCGATCTCCAGGACAGCGCTCACGCTTTTGGGTAATTGAGTAATTCTTCAAGGTTCAAGGTTCAAGATTCCAAAGTATGATTTTGTCTTTGTTTTGACGTAAAAAAGAGGGTTAAATTTCACAAAATGTTCTTGAAATTGACCGCAAAAGGGAGTTAGATCCAATTGCATTTTTGGTAACGGTCATGCGGTCGCCGTCCGGAAGTCACATTGAGTGACCCCACCGGAACCCAAGTCCTGCCTCGGGCTCCTGCCCCACTCCAGCATAGAGAGAGAGAGTTAGACTCTAATGCTAATGCGTATTGTAATACTATTGACCTCTAGCACTGCACTACGTGTTAATAGGCAGCATTTGCACACATGAATAGTTAATACACGCTCAATACACAGATGCACACAATGATACCACCTTAGATGATGCTTTAGATGAATCATGCCGATGTGGCTGATCGGAAGTTTGACAGTAGACTCTAGAGTCTAGACTTGTCTACAATTTGAATTTTTAAATTATTCTTTCTAACATTGGTAAGTTAAAAAAATTGTATTTTACTGCTATTTAGGAGTCATAAATTGTCACTAAACTACTAATTGCGAGTGAAATCAGTTGAGTTTTGTACAGTGGTGTTTGAAATGTTGAGAATCAATAGACTAGCGCTAGCATGTCTTTTAATATACAGTCTAGTCAGGAAAGTAATGCAGCTAGTTCGTGTGTTTAATACGTGTGTTCTGTCCTGTCCTGGCTTTAATTTTTATAAATTAAATAATTAGATGTCCGGACAATCATTTTTCTTTTGTTTTTCAGAAGGCTGAACAGTTACAGACCAAATACAAAAGTAAAAGATCGATAAGGAATGACAACGATAACATACCAAGAATCCAAAGACATACAGGCAGACGGTTAAAAATCGATTACTCTTCATGTTTTCTTCCTTTTATCATCAATGTTTTTAGATTTTGTCTTCTTCGCCCCTTAAGTTGAAACCACCGACCAATATGAAAGGGGGCCCGGTTATAGTGTCTCTAAGACAACAAATTGAAAAGGGAAAAAGAAAATGTGCACGTATCGATTTAACGTATGGTAAAGAAATTGCAATAAGAGTAATTAAAGAGACTAGAATTGAATTTTGTTAAAGCTATCGAATGACATTATAACTAGATAATGACTCATATCTTGTTAAAGCTGAAATTTTCCTCTTTACTCTCATGATGTCACATACGGAAACCGAGTGGGGCTCTAACTGGCATGAGGGAGATCACCGTCGACTTATATAGCGCGCGGTTCAAGTTTGGAAGGATAGAAAGTAAATAAATTAGTTGAGACAATAGGTCTCTCATTGATCAAATACGGAAGATGTTTTTCATTTTTTGTAGTTGCATGGGGTGGAAATTTTTATTCAAAAATTTATTTCAAATGTACAGAAAATTGTACACCCAGAAAAGCAATAGTAGCTAGTACCTGTGTTGAACGTCAACCCAGATGAAATAATTATGTCCGGCGGGTGAGCTTTATAAAAACCCAAATTAACAGCTTCGATTTATTTATGTTTAATGCTAGGCCAGTGAGACATTTAAATCCTTCTAGAATATCTAAAACTCTTAACTGATCGTTACGGCCTTCCAGATATAATACCGGCCGCATCATCAGCATAATAAGCATTACTTTTAATTTCTGTGCTATTTACTTTTATTTAGGTGTCTTTTCTAATCTCGAGACTTAATATTTCACTACCTATAATATGATGAAAAGGAATGGACTTAACGGATTATGCAGCCTTGTCTTACCCCGCATGTACTATACTTTAAAATATTCTGAGGCAAAACCATTGTTAATAACTCATGAGCTTATATAAAACTGTAATCCAACTGACCAATTCGATGTCAAAATTGAAAACCGTAGTGTTTTCAATATGAATGACCACTCTATCTTATCGAATGCTTTTTCGAAATCTGCACAAGCCAGGCTGATTAGTTATATTTGTGAATTCTATCGTTTCCGAAGCAGTCCGAACATTTTCTCCAATAAATCTACCAGGAAAAATAAACAGTTTGTTCGTTGCCTAATGGTCGGCAAAACCCTTTTCAGTCTTAAAGAGATGCATTTAGCAATAAGTTTGAAATCTGTATTTATAACAATAATCTTGACATTCCGTTATGTAACCCAAGATGGACTACACTGCTGATAATATGGCGCGCAGAATCAATTTTGTTTACCGTTCGGTAGTGGTTCCACTATAGATAGGCACTACCATTCGACCAAACTACAATAGTAAAGAGACCTGCGTTTAAGGGGAGAAGGCACAGTGGCGGATCCAGGGGGGGGGGCGAAACGGCCGCCCCCCCTATTGGCGGCACCAAAAAAGGAAGGGAAAAAAGAGGAAGAAAAGAAGAGAAAAAAAAAATAACACTGAGTGGGGGGAAGAGGAAAGTCGGCAGAGAAAGGGGAAAAAACAAGGAAATGGCGCTAAGTGACAGTAACGACGAAAATTTTGGGAAAACTGTTATCTAGAGATTTGGGGTCATTCCAGAAGGCTTGTGAAACGTAAATAGAGGGGGCCGGCCGCTAAAATCTCGAGCCGCGGATTCAAATCTAAAGGTTAAAAACAGCCCCTGCGCTACAAAGGTCATCACTCTTTGGTGAGAAATTTGAAAAGGGCACAATTAATATTTTGGATGTCTTTTAAATAGAAGCTATATATACTTAACAGTCAGCTTTTAAATTAACAGTAGAGGGGCCACTTCACAACTCTTATTTTGCCCTTCATTTGGCTTCAGCTCATACCAACTCGCTTGAGCTTGTATTTGAACTCAACTGTTGGTAGTAATCATGGACAGGGGCGGCGATCCTGGGCACGATAGGGGGACACGTCCCCCAGGAAATTTAGTAATATCGCTAGAAAAAATATAGCAGAAAGAACGTACATATTGGGCTTAGGGATTTTCTAGAATGCATAATTACAGCATTCAACATTGCAAAACCTTATTGACATAGTGTTGTTTTATTAAAACACTATGATATGACACTTCGTCCACGCTCCCAGACGTGATTTATCCATGGTTGGGGTAATAGATTTTTTCTTACTTCATTTATACTAACATAATTGTGTGCTATCTCAATCATGGTTGTTTCATTTTCCCTTTAAAGCAAGCGCGTTGCTAGGGGCGGTGCGGGCAATGAGGGGAAAAACAAAGAAACATTTTTGAAAATTCTGACAAGTTGAGAACAGTACAAAAAATCGTCTCCTTTTTCTAATGATAAATGAAAGGTCAAAGCTTTCGCGCGGGAGGGGGGGGGGGGGGGCTGAATTAAGACAAGGAATAGGAGTCGAGAATAGTAACAAGAATCGTCTTCTTTCTCTAATAATTTAATGAAACGTCAACGGCTTCCACGCTTCGCGCGAGAGGGGGAAACTGAATTCAGACAAGGATTAAAAGTGGAGAATGGAACAACGAATCATCTTCTTTCTCTAATAATTTCATCGAAAGGTCAAAGCTTCCGCGCTTTGCGCGGGCGGGGGGGGGGGGGGAGGGACTGAATTAAGACAAGGAATAAGAGTCGAGAATGGTACAACAAATCGCCTTCTTTTTCTAATGATTAATGAAAGGTCAAAGCTTCCGCGCTTCGCGCAATCGAAACATAATTTATTGGTGTGTAAGAAATTTGTACGAGAGAGGAATAGGTTGTTTTCTCGGTTGAAAATTAAAGATAAGAGGTTAAAGAATTTACTGGGGAATGAAGATCATATCTGCACACTCTGTTGGCTTTCATAAAAGCTACAGGTAGATACCAATCATTATAGCTAACGAGTTAAAACTAACTTTCTTGGGGAGGAAGGGAAGGGAAAGTATAGTTTAGCACTGCACAGTAACCCCTATTATTAATAAAAACACTCGCACCCTGTTTTGCGTGACTGCTAGAGCATGTGTGCTTCAATGCTAATCAACTAGGGGACCTACGTCCTTAAGTCATAACTGACAGTAATGGGGATTAATACCTCATAAAAGGGCACTAATATAGCACATCGACCCGGTTTTGATCCTGGGGGCTCACAGTAACGAGGCCATTGCTTAGCCAATGAATCATGACTGTACGCAGCGGGGCGCTAGGGTACGTCGACGCCCCACAAAAACAAAAACACAAAGAAAATGCAATAATTTTTCAATAATCCATTGCAATTTGCCCCGACCCCCAACATAAAAAAATCTTCTATGTGGGCATGCCTTGAACCATAATGCATGGCCCTACAGAGAAATCTTTCCTGTTGGGGACTGGGGGAAAATGCAATGAATTATTGAAAATTTATTGCATTTTCTTTGTTTTTTTCGAGTCGCCGAATAGAACAACGAATCATCTTCTTTCTCTAATAATTTCATTAAACTATGAAAGGTCAAAGCGGGCAAAAACTGAATTAAGACAAGGAATGAGAATCGAGAATGGTACAACGAATCGTCTTCTTTCTCTAATGATTAATGAAAGGTCAAAGCTTCCGCGCTTCGCGCGGGAGGGGGGGGGGGGGGGAACCTAATTCAAAATGAAGGTGTCATGAAAAATGTTTTAATGAATGTTAACAATAAACGAAAGTCAAAGTTTTTTTTTACTCTCTGTTGTTTATTCATTCAATTGTTAGACCTCCAATCGAAGATAAATGGGAAGAAATATTAAATAGTACATAACAAATCGACTGGAAAGTCATATGGTCATTTAATTTACAAGCTATGAAAGAACACAGAATATCAGAATTCAATTTTAAGCTATATTACACAACTTATTACCAAATAGGTATAATTTATTCAAATGGAAATTGTGCAACAATCCCTTATGTTTAATAATATATGATGATCAGTTACACGACAATCTTCATTTATTTGTAAAAAATAATACAAACACACAAGATTGTTTTGGTTAAAATTTGGAGATAGAATTCGAAAACTTTACAATGTTAATTTTTCTTTTGACAAGTTCGTTTTAAAAAGGTTACAACTTGAAAAACTAAATATTTAAAAGTTAAAATGTTCTTATCATATATGCAAAATACGCAGTTTGTCTAACATTTATGCAAGCAGAAAATCGCAAAATTATGTTCCATTAAAGGTAATGCAAAGTTTTGGGAAATTTTGAAAATTGGGTGGATAGTGATTCTTTACAATTTTGATAGATTTGGATGCCCCTGCGGATGCATTAAAAGCACTAAAAAAAATTGGCCTCTAAAACTCTTCTGTTTTCGAGAAAAACTAAATACAAAAATTTACCGGAGCTCCCGGTAAATTTTGACAAATTTTAAATAGCGCCTACGGCCGT